AAGGGTCTTCCTCTATTGTCAAGGGTCCCTCCGAATCCAATGGATGGTTCTCTGGAGAAAACAAGAAAACTAAAAGAAGGAAACAAGTGAGAGTGCAGGGTCGAATACCAGATATATATGTTCATATTGATGTTAACACAAATGTACACATGGGATTCAACTTAAAAATATATGGTTTGCAGTGCAGAAAAGAGAAACAAAAAGCCCTGACTCGAATTCTAAATATATACTGAAATACAACTGGCATATAATATCCGCTGGTTGAATCCCAATGATTTCAAGTCAAAAAATACAGTAACATGGGATGAAAATCAACCCCCGCATGAGGTTCCTATATAACTGCTCACTTTAGGAAACCCAAATGGAAACCACTAATTCATTAATTAGTTGCGATGATGAGAAAACCAACAGACATACATGAGAAAAACAGGTTGGCGAGGAGGGCTTTTCTCCTTGGGTTCACGGCCGAACTCATGAAAGGGTAGGCAGCCCAGGAGCTCCAGGCCTATGTCACACAGACCACGATCATTTTGACTACCACATTGTCCTTTGAAGGCCCAAACAGGTACATTTAGCGGGTTTGAGAGGATTGGGAATTTGAGGTATTTTGTATTGCATTCATCTGGTGGACGGGTTTTTCCCACTTTGGGCTGAGCTTGGGCTCAATAGTAATTCGAGGTTGTTGTTGTCGAGAGATGAGGAGGTTGCTCAAGGTAGTCTTCTGCAGGAAGCGACTTGTCATTTTCGCTTGCACCCCATTTCCAGCTTCGGGGGCATTAAAGTATGGAGGAAGTGTGTACTCTCGAGGTAGCAGCAGTTTGTAATACTTAAGTTTTCATTGCTTATTTATTTGACTTCTCTGTTTTTATAATCTAAAACAGTCCGACTTGTTAAATATACATATATATATATATATGTATATTACATTTGTTTTGTATAGTTTGAAGAGGAGAATCATGCATTGCTCTTTTAGCATTTTTCTCAAATTTTATTTATGATTATGCTGGTTTTACTGAGATTCCCAAACCTTTATTCCATGCCTTAATCCGTGTGTTTTTCTTAAGTTGTTGTGGAGAATTTTTAATTTGTAACCCACTAAACTTCCTTTGTAATAAAAGATGTTTTAGTTATTTAGCTGCTTGTTGTAATTGCATTTCTATCACTGTTGAGAAGAAAATTACATTTATCAATCATATTCGGAAAAAAAATCATTATTAAGACTATTTTTTTTGTTTATTTCAACCTAATTTGGATGACTAAATTCCTAATAATATAAATTAGAATCTTGCATTCATATCCAAATTTTGGATATTTTTGAATATCCAAATTTTGGATAAATTTCTTTTCTCTCATCTAATAATCTTGTATCACTATATTATTTCAATTAACAATGACGAAACAAGTCCTTCATTATACTTCTAATTGTTTACCTTTTTTGTTATTAACTATTTGTGGTGTTTTTGTCGTTTAAAATTCAGAGTTGGATAAGTGAGGTTAACCCTCGACCAAGAACCCTTTGCCTCCTAATTTTCTGAGATTTTACTCTTTATTACTCTCAACTAATTCATCCTTTTCTTATCCAATTCTTTTGATAGGTGGTTAGGTACCTTTTGGTCTGTTATTAGCTGGGATAAAGTGTCATTGGCAAAGTTGTCCGTGGTACTAGCAAGTATCATGAAGGTAACTATGATGGAGCTGAGGTCTATCTTATATTTGTGGTGGACTATTTTCCTCAATTCACAAACATTTTATGGGTTAAAGCTTGTGGGTTCATTTTAATGGAATCTTTAGGTGTTTGAAAAGTTTGAACCAATCTTAACTCTATTTTTTATGTAGAAACAATTATCAATCATTGCACATTGATAATAAATAGCATGTGTGTAGTCATTGATGATGCTAAATTCTCCTCGTATATTCATTTAGTTGGCGATTTCTATTTCAGATTGAGGGCTAATTGAGTCTATGATTACATAGCTGTCTGGGTATTACCACAATCTTTTAAAACTCTAATGTATTTCAATATGATAATCATGTATCTTTTATTAAATTTTTTACATCCACAACTGCTTACTTATATTTATATTTCTTATTATGGCATCTTAAACTTGCCAACTTGAAGTCTCAAAAAACTCTTCCTATCTCTTCACATTATGTTGTTGCTCCTGAATACAAGGTAAATTTATTGATTTACTTGCTTAAGTGCTACAATACAGAATCAACAGTAGGCCTTGTTTGCTTTTAAATTTCTTTATTTCTTATCATATTTTTTAGGTATTCATCAATTATGGGGTTGTTGAGATGTCGCCTCCGATAATCCTCTTGTTATTCATTTTTTCTGACAACTAAATCTATTACTATTAGTGGTTAAGATAAGGAAAGCTAAAAAATCAAACAATACCGTGCCGTCAGATATAATGTTTCAATAATGATTCAGCTATATTGTTTTCTTTGGGAAAAAAAAAATGAATTATATTATTTTCTTACAATATTTTTATATCAAGTGACATGGACTGGGTCGCAATATTTTTAGGTAGAACACCTAAATCACCTCTCAAACGGGGAGTAGGGATAAATCTATTTTTAAAAAAATACATATATAAATTATTTTTTAAAATTATAAATTGAGATAAATTACTTATATTTTAATATGTGACATCAATTTTTCATTAAAAATGTTTACATAACAAACATAATTCTAATGTTATATATTAAAAAATGAGTAATTTTTCTTAATTTATAATTTTAAAAAATAATTTATTCTTATTATATTTTTTTGAGGCGTGGATATGTTTCGATTCCTCATTTATGGGTTAGATTTGAGAGTTTTGACATATTTTTATATCAAGTGGCATGGACTGGCTCACATGATTCTTGCATCATATGTATTCTTTTTTTTGAAAATAGGCAATGGCATATGGATTCTTTTCTCAGTGCACATAAATATACAACATCAAATGAATGATTGTGCGTAGGGACAGAGCTAGACTTTTTGGTTACGGTAAAATCTTAAAATTTTTTAGAGTTATAATAAGTTTATATCAATATAATTTATATTAATTTTTAATTATTCAATATATAATTTGTTAGTAGAGTTTTATATATTATTACTCTATATTTAAGGTGAG